GGCTCCTCGCGGCCCTCGCTCCCCGCCTGCCGCCGCCGCCGTCCCCGCTGGGGCGCAGGGCCCGCCTCGCACCTCGGCGCAGCGGTGTGGCGCATTCACTGCGGCTCGTGTTAGGTGGAAGCCACCGGTGCTGGTGTCTGCCCCAGAGCTGAAGGAGCGGGCTCGTAAGGGTTAATGTTTTTTCCTGTTTTGGTAGGGAAATAATGATAAATAGTTTGGAGGAATATTGATAGCACATACTTTGCGTGAGGTGGCAGGGTTGCAGAATGTCAGCATTTGTGATGTTTGTATTTGGTTCTTGTTTAAATTGTGAGGGTATCTCATTTTTGTAATTTGGAGGCTTATAACCCCTCGTTGGATCTGTTACATTTAGTGAAGACTCGCCAGATGTGCTGGCACATTCCTGTAATCCCAGCCCTGGAAGTTGAGGCAAGAGGATCTCTGAATTTGAGAGCAGCCTAGGGTACATAGAGAGTTTAAGACCAGCCTAATCTACACAGTGGAACTTTGTCTCAAAAACAAAATAAAAATAAATGAATAAATGAGGGAGGATTGATTAAAACTGTGTAGCACATTAGTTGGGTTTAGTTCAAATGGAAAATAGTTCAAATCAATGCTTTTAGTAAATTACATAGCAAGTGGAGAAGCACTTCCCTTTTGGCTGCTTTTGTCGGTAGTCGTTTTTTCATCTCATTCAGGAGAAGAGAAGATTTGAGCCAGATTGTTTTGCAGAGGACATATCTACATCGAAGCAGAAGGTTTTAGAAGAGGACTGTACACTACCAGAAATCTCATCTACAGTTAAACAGTTTATGAAGAGGAAGAGAGTCCACACTTTTAAGAGATTCCCAAAGAACAGCGTTTCATACAAATGTCAGAACTATTGCTTGAAGAATTGTTTTGTTTTCTGAGACAAGGTGTCAATGTACTTAAGGCTGGCCTTGAACTCCCTTTGTAGCCCATGGGCTTGAACTCAGAGTGATCCTCCTGCCTCAGCCTCAAGTGTTAAGATTGCTAGTGTGTATCACCGTGTCCTGCTTGATTTAGGAATTTTTGGCATCTTTTAAAAATTAGTCTTAAGGCAGGTAGAGAGTTAACTTATGTCTGATTGTATTCTTCTCAATAGTTTGTAACTTTGCCATACTAACACATCCAGGACCATTAACAGCTAGAGCCTTACTTTAATGTTCTTTTTGTTTTCAGGATCCCTATCACACAAGATTTTCTTGACCTTTAGGTGCTCAAAACAATTCTAAACTCAGGATTTGGCAAGTAAGTAGTTGTGGGGTAATCATTCCAAATAAGGTTTAAGCAGCTTGGAAATAGCTAGATAGGGGCTGGGGATTTAGCTCAGGGGTGAAACGCTTGCCTGGCAAGCATAAGGTCATGAGTTCCATTCCTGGTACTGGAAGAAAAACACAAAACAAAACAAAACAAAAATAGCTAGATGGAAGAAAACAATTAGATTCAATAACTTGGGAGGCTGAGGCAAGAGGATTGACACAGATTTCAGGCCAGCCTGAGCTACATAGTGAGTTCAAAGCCAGCCTGAACTACATAGTGAGACCTGTCTCAAAAAAACAGAACAGGGCTGGGGAATTAGTTCAGTGGTGCAGCTCCTGCCTGCTAAGCATGAGGTCCTGAGTTCGATTCCCGGTACCAAAAGAAACAAACAAAAAAATTACGTTCAGTAGAAGATGAACAGTAAAAATGAGTATAAAGTATTGATACGTAGTTTTGTTTGTTTGAGACAAAGTAAAAGGGCTGGTATGGTGGTATATACCTGTAATTCTAATACTCTGGGAGGCTGAGGCAGGAGGATGGCAAGTTCAAGCCCAACTGCATAGTTTAGCAACTTAATGAGACCCTATCCTCAAAATAAGAAATAAAAAAAAGGGAGCTGGGATGTAACTCAGTTTGAAAGGCCCTAAGTTCAATCCACTGTACCCCAAAGATGAATGAATGAATGGAGATGTAGCTCAGGGCAGAGGCCCTGAGTTGAAGCACCAGACACAAAAAAGGAAGGAAGGAAAGAGGGAAGAGAAGGGAGAGGAGGACAGAAGAAATAAAGAAACCTTATCTGGGGCTGGGGTGTGGCTCAGTGGAAGACCACTAGGTGGGCATGTTTGAAACTCTGGTTTAGCTCCTCAGCACTGCAGGGGCAAAAAATAACGAAGACCCTTATCAGGCTTTACATCTCCTGTATTATTTTCTTAGGCCTGCTCTGGCAAAGCGCTACAAACTGGGTAGTTTGGAACAATAGTTCTCATGGTGCAAGAAGTCAGATGTCCAAAATCAAAAGGGGTACCAGGGCCATTCACTGCAAGGCATTAGGGAAAAGTCTGTTTCAGATCTTCCTTTTCTTTTTTTCTTTTTTTTTTCTTTTTTTGTCTTTTTGAGACAGGGTCTCGCTATGCAGTTCAGGCCAGGCTCCAGCTCACTTTGTAGGCCAGGCTGATTACGAACTCATGACGATCCTCCTGCCTTAGCCTCCTGAGTGCTGGGATTACAGGCGTGCACCACCACGCCCAGCTCAGGCCTTTCTTCTTTAAAAATAAATTAATTAAAAATTAATAAAAAATTAATTTTTAATTAATTTATTTATTTGGTTTTTTGACACAGGATCTCGCTATATAGGTCAGGATAGTCTTCAGCTCGCAATGTAGCATAGGCTGGCCTCAAAACTCACAGTGATCCTCCTGCCTCAGCCCTCCAAGTGCAAGATTTATGTGTGTGCACCTGTCTCCAGGCCTTTCTAGCTTGTGGAAGTTCTTGGCCTGTGGCAGCATAACTTTAATTTTCACACCAGATTTCTTTGTGTGTGGCTGGGGCTATGTCTGTGTCTGTGTCTGTGTCCGTGTCCGTGTCCGTGTCCGTGTCCGTGTCTGTGTCTGTGTCTCCCCCTCAAGTACTGAGGATCAAATCCAGGGGCAGTTTAGCGCTGAGCTACATCTCAAGCAGCCCTTTTGTAATTTTTTTATTTGAGACAGAGTCTCACTAAATTTTCTGGACTTGAATTTTTGATCATCTTGCTCAGCTTCCTGAGTAGCTGGGGTTTCAGGTGTTTGCTTCCCACTAGCCCTTTCTATGAGGACAGCAGTCATTGGGTCAGGATCCTACCCTTCTCCAGTATGTCCTCATTTTAAGTAATCACTTTAACGACCCTATTTCCAAATAAATTCACTTTCTAAGATATTAGGACTTAGACCTACAGATTTTGAGAGGAAGCACTGCAGCCCATAACACCTATTTGGTAAAAGGTGAAAGAAAGATTTATACGATCTGAAGAGAACCTGGAGTACAATAACACCTATTTGGGTGCAAACATTGATTGCACTATGTGAAAACTCTTCAGTGTGCAACTATACAGGGGTTTTGTATACCCCTTATGTGTACCCCTTATGTGAAGTAGATAGGGTAGTAAGAATCACAGCAACAGAAATTAGAATGGTGGCTGCCAAGGCCTGTGGAGAAGGGGGAACAGGAAGTTACTGTGTAGAAGGATAGGGTTTCAATTTGAAAGCCGAAATGAGTTCTGGAGATGAACGGTGGTGATGGTGGCACAGCAGTGTTAATGTGCTCAGTACTACTAAACTGCATGTGTTAAAGGCTTTAAAATCATAAATTTTATGTGTATTTTACCACTGGTTTTTTTTGTTGTTGTTGTTGCTGTTTTTTGTTTTTTATCGTCTTTTTGAGACAGGGTCTCACTATGCAGTTCAGGCTGGCCTTGAGCTCACTTTGTAGCCCAGGCTGGTCTCAAGCTTGCAGCAGTCCTCCTGCTTCAGCCTCCAAAGTGCTGGAATTAGAGGCGTGCACCACTACACTAGGCCTTTAGTACAGTTTTTAAAAATTAAAAAAAAAAACATGTTGAGGAGAGAAGAATGTATTTGGGGCTAAGGGTTGAGACACGGTCTTGCTGTGTAGTTTAGGCTGGTCTAGAACTCACTATCTAGCCCAGGTTGGCCTCAAACTTGTGGAGATCCTCCTTCCTCAGCCTCCGGAGAGCTGCAATTACAGGTGTGCACCACTATATCCAGCTTTAAGAGAATGTATTTTAATAGTATAAAAGGAATAAAAATTGATAGGGCAGGCTAGGTGTGGTAGCACCCACCTGTAGTGCTTGTATTTCCAGCACTCAGCTGGCTGAGACAAGGAAGATTGGTACCAGTTCAAGGCCAGCCTGAATTGGGTAGTGAGACCCTGCCTCAAAAAAAAAAAAACAAAAACCAAAACCCAAAAAACCTGATAGGACAAAATGTTCTTTCAGTCATAGCCTCTATCACATGCCTTTGGAGGAGAGGCTTTATCCCTCGACCTTAGAACTTTAGAAACATGACAGTATAACACAATATTGCTAGCAGTCTAAATGTTCATTGATAGAGAACAAGTCTCAGTAAATCTTGGTACTTCCACTTTATAAGATAGCTTTAATTGTGATACAGAATGATCTTCAGAACACATTGGGGAAAAGCAGACTGAGGGCATTATATAATAGACATATTTGGAGGGGAAATGTTTATATAAGTGTTACATATCTATATGTAGAATAGATGTAAAAGGACATATGAGAAACACTACCTATCTTACTTTTTTTTTTTTTGGTAATAACTGGGGATTGATCTCAGACTTCATGCATGGTAGGTAGGTGCTGTTGTATTATGTACCAAGCTCTTTTTTATTTTATTTTGAGACAGGGTCCTATTAAGTTGCCTGGACTGGCCCTGAACTTTCAATCCTCCTGCCTCAGCCTCCTGAGTAGCTGGGATTATAGGCATGTGTCACCATGCCCAGCTTCATGTGTAGGTATTATCCAAATAAATAAAATTTTTCAAATAAAAATTTTCAATAAATACTTGATAAATAAGTTTTTGCTCAGGCAGTGACTTTACATTAGCACAGTAAATCCACTTCTGGGAAGAAACTGTCCAACTATCCCTCCAGGATTTTTTTGTTTTTGTGGTAATGGGGATTAATTCTAGGGTCTTCTCATTGAGCTATGTCCCCAGCCTTTTTTTCTTCTGTTTTTTCTTTTGGAGACAGGGTCTCGCTGTGCAGTTCAAGCTGGCCTTGAGCTCACTTTGTAGTCCAGGCTGGTCTCAAACTCACAGCAATCCTCCTGCCTCACCCTCCCAAATACGGGGAATACAGGCATGTGCCACCACACCCGGCCCTAGCCCTTTTTTTTATTTTTGTATTTTGAGACAGGATCTCAAAATACTGTGCTACCCAAACTGGGCTAGAACTTGTAATCATCCTGCCTCAGCCTTTCAGAGTACTAGGATTTCAGGCTTGTGTCACCATGACCAGCTGACCCATTGCTTTTTTAGGAGTGTGTTGTTTAATTTGCACTGCCTCGTTTATTCTAAATTTCAAGGATTTAAGGTCTCCCAGTGACAAAGGTCAGTCAAATTCTTCATTATAGGACATAGCATAACCCTATTCATTCTTTTTTTTTTTTTTTTTTTTTTTTTTTTTTTTTTTTTTTTTTGGTTTTTCTCCGGTACCGGGAACTGAACTCACGACCTTGCACTTGGCAGGCAGGCGCTTTGCCGCTGAGCTAAATCCCCAACCCCTCCTATTCATTCCTGGAGAGGACTATAAAAGCCAGGAAAACCGGAGGCAGCAGTGCCCAGGGAACTATCTTGGAGGCTAACTTTGAAGTCCTTGTCTCACAGGGTGAGTAGCCTAAATGATACATTACATTGGAAATTCCTGCTCTCTCTTGCTAGCCTCCTAGTAAATCAGATGTTACTATCTGCTGTTTTGTATAACCAATAGCCCCAAGTTGGTGACTTCAGAGACTTAAAAGTCCCTACTAGGGCACCAACTTTACAGGGAATGTATTTGTAGGTTTTGTGTAACAGAGTACAGTTTCCTCACCTATATCTAGAACTGGTGCCTGTTCCAATTTTTTTCACTCATGTTAACTAAGTGTATTCACTTACTAATTTATTTCCTTTTTTTTTACCCTGGTACCGGGAATCAAACTCACGACCTTGCACTTGCCAGGCAGGCGCTGTGCCACTGAGCTAAATCCCCAGCCCCACATACTAATTTATTTCTGATACTGGGGATTGAATCCATGACCTGGCATATGCTAGGTGAACACTCTACTACTGAGCTATGTCCCTAGTCCCTATTTTCCAATTTTTTTGTGTGGTAGGGTCTTACTTAATTGCTGAGGCTGACCTCAAACTTTCAGTCCTCCTACTTTAGCATTCCTAATATCTACAATTCATAGCCCTGTGCCACCAGCCTTAGCTAGTTTGGTTTTAGGTGTTTTTTTTTGTTGTTGTTTTTTTTTTTTGAGAAAAGATCTTGCTGGATAGTGCAGGCTGACTTTGAACCCACTTATGTACCGCGGGCTGGCCTTAAACTCAGGGTGATCCTCCTGCCCCAGCCTTCTAAATGCTGGGATTACAGGTGTGTACCACCATGCTCACGTGTTTATTTGCTTATTTATTTATGAACAGCGTCTCACTGTGTTGCCCAGACTGATCTCAATCTCCTGGCAAAAGTAATATTCCAATTTAGCCTCAGCCTATCCTGTATGTAGGCTGGGACTGCCGATATGAAATACCTTGCCTGGCAACTAAATGTATTTAGAATTGAATTGCAGAACAGTCTAATGGCGGGTGCAAGTTTTGAATTAACCAGAGCAAACTTCTGCAATTAAACAACTCTGATATCTAATTCATAAGTTCTTTTTTCTTTTTCCTCATGTAAGGGATTGAAGCAAGGATCTCTTGCCTGCTGGGCAAATGCTCTATCACTGAGCTATACCCCCAGCCCTTTTTTAAGAACAACTTTTGCAAAGTTGCCCGGGCTGGCCTCTAATTTTTTTTTTTTTTTTTTGGAGACAGGGTCTTATTATGTAGCTCAGGCTAGCCTTGAACTCACTGTGTAGTCCAGGCTGGCCTTGAATTTGTGGCAATCCTCCTGCCTCAGCTTCCTGAGTGCTGGGATTACACATATATGCCACTATGCCGAGCCTTTGTTTGTTTGTTTGTTTGTTTTGTTCTGTTTTGAGATAGGGTCTCACTGTGTAGTTCAGGCTTGACCAAACTCACTATGTAGCCCAGGTTGCCCTTGAGGTCACAGCTTTCTTCCTACTCAGCCTTTAGAGTGCTGGGTTTACAGGCATGTGTCACCAAACAGTTTGACCTCTAATTTGTGATCTTTCTGCCTCGGTTTATGGAGTAGCTGGGATTACAGGCACATGCCAGTTTCCCCAGCTGAATTAATCAGTTGATCAATCAATTGTTCGATTGATTAATTTTGATGCTCAGGATTGAACACAAGGCCTTTACATTTGATTATATTCCCAAATACGTCCCCTGCATTTTTGAGACAGGGTCCTGCTAAATTGCCCAGGCTGGGCTGGAATTTGTGATCTTGCCTTAGCCTCCCAGAATGCAGGGATTACAAACTGCCACTATGCCTAGCCTAGCCAAAGTTTTTTTTTGAGGGGCGGGGGTGCGGTCCGGTACTGGGAACGAAACTCACGACCTTGTGCTTGCCAGGCAGGTGCTGTGCCCCTAAGCTAAATCCCCAGCTCCTAACTAAAGGGTTTTTTTTTGTTTTTTTTGAGACAGGGTCTCATTTTTTAGGGCAGGCTGGCCTTGAACTCACTATATAGCCCAGGCTAGCCTCCTGCTTCAGCCTCCCAAGTGCTGGAATTAGAGGTATGTGTGCCACTATGCCTGGCTACTGAGGTATTTTTTTAACGTGTGGCACAGATTTTTAAAAAACAGTTGGCTAGGAAGACTAGTTAGCCAATTGCTTTGGCCATTAACATAAACTAAAATTATTTAAACTTTTGATACACATATTTACTTATTAATGTCATTATTAAACAGTAAATTAACATTTACCATTTTATCTTTTTTTTTTTTTTTTTTTAGTGTTTTAAAACTTTTTCCTTTTTTTTTGTTTTTTGTTTTTTGTTTTTTTTTCCAGTACCTGGAATTGAACTCATGACCTTGCGCTTTTTTTGTCTTTTTGAGACAGGGTCTCGCTATTGCAGTTCAGGCTGGCCTTGAGCTCCCTTTGTAGCCCAGGCTGGTCTTGAGCTCACAACGATCCTCCTGCCTCAGCCACCCAAGTGCTGGGATTACAGGCATGCGCCACCACGCCCAGCGATTTTATCTTTTTTAAGTGTGTAATTCATTGGTGTTAAGTATACCCTGCATTGTTGTGCAGCCATGACCACTATGTATTTCTACAGTTTCTCTATCATTTTCAACTCTATACTCATAATTCTTGATCTCCTTTTCCCTCAGCCCCAGATTACCTGTATTCTACTTTTATCTCTATGAATTTGCTTATTCAAGATTATCTCATGTAAGTAGAATTTACTCTTTTGTTTGTTTCTTTCTTTTGAGACAGGGTCTCCCTGTGTAGTTTAGGCTGGCCTTGAATTCACTATGTAGCCCACGCTGGCCTGGAACTCATGTCAATCCCCCTGCCTCGGCCTCCCCAGTGCTGGGACTATAGGTATGTGCCACCATACCTGGCTACAATACTTTCATAGCTATAAAATTGGTATTGCATTGGTATAAGAGCCAATTAGAATTTTTTTGTTTGTTTTTGGTTTTTTGCGACAAGGTCTCCCTGTGTGGTTCAGGCTGGCCTTGAACCCTTGGAGATTTACCTACCTCAGCCTCCCAAGTGCTGGGATCACAGGTGGGTACCATCATACCCAGTGGCATATATCTTTTGTATAATTCAGGGTTGTTTTTTTTCTTTTTGAGACAGGCTTGTTATGCAATTCAGGCTGGCCTTGCACTCATTTTGTAACTGAGGCTGGCCTCGAATATCCTCCTGTCTGAGTCTCCGGGATGCTGGGATTATAGGCATGAGCCACCAGGCCTGACTAATTCAGGTTTTTATTTACATAGCTTTTTTTTTTTTTTGGTACCGGGACTTGAACTCAGGACGTCATACTTGCCAGATAGGTGCTGCACCACTGAGCTAAACCCCTGGCCCATACATAGCTTTTTAAATTTTTTAAAAATTTAATTAATTAATTAATTAATTTTTGTCTTTTTGAGACAGGGTCTC